TTTGAAATAAGTTTCCCAGAGCCACACATCGAATCATCTTTTGTTTACAATATGGTGCTTCCAGGGCGTAAACAAAACGACACACAAATGTCATTTTTTTCTCTTCTCCAATTATTTTGCCCTATATCTGAAAGTCCAGGTTCTACCCTATGGTTTCCTGAAGGCACACTGAAGCCCCTCCCCCCCACACAGCCAATAGGCCTCACCATAAACAAAAGTGGTCCACTGAGGTGCTCCAACACCATCAAGACCCACCCCCCCCCAACCACATGATTTAAGGTCTGATCACCAACCAACTGGACCAAGAATCTCATTTTTGGAAGCAGGTGGAGGTGACCACCCAGTAAAGGGAATTCTACTTTGATGCCAACCTGCAGTAAGAGGCTCACAAGCCATTACGAGGGAAATAAAATTATTCACCTCAGATGCATGGAAGACAGTGGAATATAAAGATTCAGAGCTTGTGCTCTAGGGATCAGGCTGCTGGGCTTCAAATCCCAGCCTTATTACTTGGTAAATGCATGAACTTGGATGAATTAACCTAGCTAAGCCTCAAGTTTCTCATCTTTAAGTGAGGAGAGAAATCTAATGACTCCACTAGAGAGTATGGGAAAGGGTCAATGAGGTTCTACACATAGCGCTTGGTCCATCGCTTAATGAACAATAAGATGTATGATTTTTTTTATCATCATCAATATTAGGGCCACTGCTCTATACCACTCTAGGGGAGGCTCCTGATACCGCAGCCTACGGGAACAGCACCCCAGAGCTGTGCAGTGCACATGTGTGGCTGTATAAAACATCATGATGACGCCATGTGCATATGCAGAACGTGGGCTTCTCAAGGTGGACGCCTGGGTTATCTCTCCAAAAGAGGAGGGTGCCATTTGTCACATGTCTTGTGTGAAACACATCTTGCCAACAAACAGGTGAGTTTTAATAGTGCACAGGGGGGAAGCAAAAGGGGAAAATGGACACTCAGAAAGCAAACAGGAGTTCTGAGCTGGCTGCCAAGGACTGCTAATAGGAAGAGAACTTGCTGAAAGTAAGGTGAGGGGGGGGAACCCAGCACATCCCATTCAGTGGCTCTGAGGCTGTGCCTTGGCATGCTCACTGACCCCAGGCCAAGGTGCCACTAGATGAAGGGAGCAAAGTCAAGGCACATGCCTGTCCCAAGTAGGTATCAGGTAAAATGTCACAGAGTGAGTGGATGAGAGAGGAGGTGAGAGGAAGAAAGGAGGTGAGAGCCCAAAGGAAAGAGAGGACTTCGAACAATGGAACCATCAGGAGGGCGCAGGAGAGGGCAGGACAAGGTTGGGAGGCTAAATCCCCACACATGTTAAAACTGCTTTTCTAAAAAAAAGAGGAAAATCCCATTTAAAACTGTATCAAAAAAGAGTAAAACAACTAGGAATAAATGTATTCAAGGAGGTGAGAGATCAGTACACTGAAAACTGTAAAACACTGTTGAAAGAATTGGAAGAAAACACAAATAAACGAAAAGATATTCTGTGCTCATGGACTGGAATAATTAATATTGCTAAAATGTCCACACTACCCAAAGCAATCTACAGGTTTCATGCAATCTTATCAAAATTACAAAGGCATTTTTCACAGAAATAAAAAAATCCTAAAATTAGTATGTAAATTCACCCACAAGAGATCCCCGAATTGCCAAAGCAATCTCGAGAAAGAAGAACAAAGCTGGAGGCATCATACTTCTTGATTTCAGTCTATATCACAAAGCTATAGTAATCAAAATAGTATGGTATTGGCACAAAAAAAGACACACAGATCAATGGAAAAAAATAGAGAACCTAGAAATAAACTCACACAGATACATGATAGGGTAATTTATGACAAAGGAGCCAAGGCTATACAAAGGGGAAAGGATAGTCTCTTCAATAAAAATGGTGTTGGGAAAACTGCAAAGGAATGAAACTAGACCCCCACCTTATACCTTACACAAAAATCAATTCAAAATGGATTAACGACTTGAATATAACACCTGAAATCATAAAACTCCTAGGAGAAAACAGAGGGTTTCTTGACATCAGTCTTGGCAATGATTTTTTGGATTGACACCAAAACCAGAGGCAACAAAAGCAAAATTAAACAAGTAGGACTACATTAAACTGAAAATGAGCAAAGGATCCAAACAGACACGTCTCAAAAGAAGACATACAAATGGCCAGCAGATATACGAAAAGGTGGTGACATCACTAATCATTAGGGGACTGTAAATCAAAACCACACTGAGATAACACCTCACACCTGTCAGAGTGGCTCCCATCCTCGAGACAGGCAATAACAAGTGTTGGCGAGGCTGCGGAGAAAGGGGAACCCACATGCATTGCTGCTGGGAGTGTGAATTGCTGCAGCCACTATGGAAAACAGTATGAAGGTTCCTCAAACAATTAAAAACAGCTCCCGTATGACCCAGCAACTCCACTTCTAGGTATTTATCCAAAGGAAATGAAATCACTAACTCAAAAAAATATATGCACCCCCATGTTCATTGCAGCATTATTTGCAATAGCTAAGATATGGAAGCCACCTAAGTGTCTATTAATGAATTAATGGATAAGAAAAATATGGCGCATATATATATATATAGACACACACATATATACATATACGTATATATGTGTGTGTCTATATATATAATGGAATATAACTCACCCATAAAAAAGGAAATCTTACCATCTGTGACAACATGGATGAACCTTGAGGGCACTACGGTGATATAGATCGGACAGAGAAAGACAAATACCGTATGATCTCACTTATATGTGGAATCTTAAAAAACCGAACATAAATACAGAGAACAGATTGGTGGTTGCCAGAGGTGGCAGGGGGTGCAGGGTGGGTGGGAAGTGGGTGAATGGGTGAAGCTGGTCACCAGGTACAAACCTCAGCCCTGGCTGGGTAGCTCAGCGGGTTAGAGTGTCGTTTCAAAATGCCAATGTTGTGGGTTTGACCCCCAGTCAGGGCAACACAAGAATCGACCAATGAATGCATAAATAAGTGGAACAACAAATCGATGTTTCTCTCTCCCTCAATATCCCTCTCTCTCTCTATAAAAATCATTTTTTTTAAAAAAGGTACAAACTTCAGTTATAAGATAAATAAGGTCTGGGGATGTAATGTACAGCATGGTCGCCATAGTTAACAACATCATATCATATATTTAAAATTTGCTGAAAGTAGATCTTAAAACTTCTTATCACAAGAAAAATAATTTATAAGCATGGGAGGTGATGGGTATTAACTATAACATAGCTATTTTTAATAATAACTAAACTTACTGTGGTAATTATTTTGTAATATACACAGATATTAAATCATTATGTTTTCACCGAAAATGAATACAATGTTATAGGTCAATTATATCTCAATAAAACTGGAAAAAGTGGCATTGCCACAGTGCTTGTGTAAAATAATAAAAAAAAAGAATGCAGTATAGTATCTCATAATGGTTTCAGAGAATAAACTTAGGATCGAGTCTTGCTTTTTCCACTTGCTAGGTATGTGGCGCTTGGGCAAATGACATTGGCTGTCCAAACCTCAGTTTTCTTGACTGCAAAGTGGGGTAATAATAATACCCAATTGTTCTAGTGGCTGCAAAGACTAAGTAAGATGATGAACATAAAGCACTTAGCTCAGTGCGGGGCACGATTTCCCCGTTCTAAAAACCATTCCTGGTGGGAAATTTCTGTCTTATCCATATCTCTGAACCTTTACGGCATACACTTTTTTTTTAAGTTAAATTTATTGGGGTAACATTGGTTAATAGCATTATGTGAATTTCAGGTGTACCNCCCCTCTGGTAACCACCATTCTGTTATCTGTATCTATGAGTTTGCTTTTTGTTTGTTTTATTAGTTTGTTGCTTTCAGTTTTATATTCCACATATCAGTGAAATTATATGGCTCTTGTACTTTTCCACCTGACTTATTTTGTTTAGCATAATGCTCTCAAGATCCAGCCATGTTGTCACAAATGGCAATATTTCACCTTTTTATGGCTGAGTACTATTCCATTGTATACACAGGAGTGAGCAAAAGTAGGTTTACAGTTGTGAGTACGTGAAAAAGTTTATTCTTACATTATTATTTATTAATTATTTTATTATTTATTTGTAATACAGCTGTAAACCTACTTTTGTCCACCCTTGTATATGTGCCACATCTTTATCTAATCATCTGTCGAAGGACACTTGGGTTGTTTCCACGTCTTGGTTATTGTGGATAACAGCATGCATTTTCTATTTCCTTAAATGTCAGCAGACATGGCCTTGCTTCCTAAAGCTTTCCCCCCTTTCCTACAATCCAGTCTTCTGTTCTCATACACAGGAGAGGTCACCTCTTACTCATGTCTTGCTTTCCTAGCTAGACGTTTCCCCAGGGACATTTCGGGTATTATTTAACTGGGCATTAACATTAAACATTAACATTTTCTTTAACCAAATATTAAGTGGGAGAGAAACAAATCTGCCTATTTCCGCATCAACGGAGCAGTTCTTCAGATTCCACCGTTTTTAATGCTGAAATACTTCACTACTTAATCAGGATTTCCAGTGAGTGCCTGTCATCTACCTGACAGCCAAGCCCTGGACGGAGGGAGAGCTCAGAGGAGTCCTCGCTCGAGTCTGTGGCTGTCGGCACTAATACAGAACGACCAAGGCTGGACACACATATTTGAAATATTTCGTCCATTCCCCCCGTCCTGTGACAGTTATCTGTACGCATTTGGCCTAAGGCCTGTTAAGGTTTCCCTGGAGGCAGCCAGACTAGAAACATTCAAGGACGCAGACAGAGGAATTGTGCAAAAGGAGGAGCCATCCCTCCCCGGTGGGAGTCAGCTGCCCGCCTCCGACCGCAAGCCTTTGGGACAGAGCCAGCCTTGTCACCGCGCTTCAAGGCTTCACAGGGGATGGCTGTGATAGCAAGGGGCTGAGCAAAATGCCCGGCAGGTGCCCACCTCATGGCTCTACTTACTTCTTGCCATTCCTCTGCCCTCCACGCGTAGAGAGGGCAGGGCGGGGCTTGGCAGGTGCGCTCCGCCGCGGGCCTGCTGTAGGCGCTGCACTCGGCCTCTCGGGCTGCCTTGCGGGCTCCCGCCTGACAGCCCACATTCCTCCGCTGCACGCCTTGGCCGCAGGACACGGAGCACTGGGAAGACAGAGTGCGTAAGTGGGGGCTTTGGGTCACTGGGTGTGGAGGGGGCAGGGGGGAGTCACAGGCCTGGGGAACGCACCCTAACCCAACGTCTTTCACAGCTATCACAAGGGTTTCTAATTTTTAACGAACAAGACCCAAGGTAAGGTCTTAAATTTGCAAACTCACTGCCTGCCCATGTCGGTGAGTGAGGAAGGGGTTGAAGTTTTGGGAATCTCTAAAGTTTGCAAAACTTTTAGGATGACTGAAGGGGTTGGGAGAGATCATTAGGAAACATTTAGTACAACCTAGAAATAGAGCTGCCCCGTGAAATGAGAATCCCAAGTGGTTTCTATCCTGGACGACGTGAGGCACTTGACGATTGGAGCTACGGCTTCTACGAGGATAATTTCTTGGCAGGTTAAAAGTATAACCCAAGGAGAGTACCTCACTGAAACTTTTAGGACCTTGTAAGTAGGATTATCTTCTCCAGGCTCTTCCTTTTTCTATTCCCGGAAATGGACAATTTTTTTTTTTTTTTTTTAATTATATAATTCACTAAAACATTNAATTATCTTCTCCAGGCTCTTCCTTTTTCTATTCCCAGAGATGGACAATTTTTTTTTTTTTTTTTTTAATTATATAATTCACTAAAACATTTCTGTCTCTCTACAACCTAAGATGAATATATAAGAATAAAAGCTGACAAGGAAGCCCATTTCCTCAGGCCTAGTGTTTCAGCTCTTGAAAAATACTCTTAATCAGGCTGAACCATTTGGTTGACCAAGTTGCAAAACACCACATTAAATCTGCAATTAACTTTCCTCTAAATTAATTTTTTAATGGTTTCCTCATTGCTGGATTTTATAATCTCACTCTTGGGTAAGCCAAGAATTATAGTCTTTATTAAGGCTTGACAGTCAGAAACTAAAGGCACCGTTTGATTGGAAAGAACAGCATATTATTACCCTTAGCTATTTAAAATTTTTACCAAGTTTTTATGATCGCTCAGGCTCCATTAATTTGTCTGGCATTGAGAAAACAAGTTTAACATACACTAAAGCCATATTCCCAAGAGGAAGTCTTCATAAAGAAGAGAATCATGCTCTTTTAAATTAGAAAGAAGTTCTTGTCCAATTAACCTGCAGTAGGTAGGACTCATCTCACTCTGAGCGAATGGAAATTTACTATCACGTACACCCACTGGATTCTGCTGAATATTATTGCCATTTCAAATTGTAAGAAAATAGATGATAACTATGCAGAAGGCAGCCCAGGAAATCCTATCATTCCAGATGAGTCCATGCCAGGAGGAGCTCAAATGTTTCCATCAAAGTTAGCAGGAAAGGAACTATCCAGGAGCAACATAGCTGCTATTGTTTGGGTTTTAATTGTGTTAATTGGATTGAGTGAGTTTGTGACCCACAGAAACCAGACTTTTAAAGTCATTATATCCTGGTGGGACAGGGCCTGCCTGAACACAAGTGACTGCCTTGTCCACAGAGAATGGCCATATGATGCTATGGGAGCCACATGTACAATATTTCCCATTGGCTGCACTGGAAATGAACAAAGGGGACCACGGGAGAGTTAGGCACGAATGACAGAAACATCAAACACTGTCATCGCCAACAAATAACAACCACCAAGAAACTTTTTGGCTAATTAAATTTGGGGTCTAAAATATAAAGTAGTACACTTCTAGAACAATGCATCCGAATGGAAATACAAAGCAAGAAAAAGAACAGTTACATAAACAAATTTGAGGTGGACACAAGTCTGATAGACAGGTGTCCCCGTCCCCCAAATGTATATGCACTTTAACAGCTGATAGCTCAGTTTTGAAAATGAAGCGTGTTTTAATAAACACTGCTTTTATAATTATTCAAAGTGTGTGTATACAGTTTTTGGGGACACCTACATATTCTAAAGCTCGCAATGCTTTAATAGCCTAAAGGAAAGGGAAACGACATTAAAGACTTTTAGAGCGAGCGCTCTTCAGGCGCGCAGTCAACGGAACCCCTCTTTAATGCTACTCTTACCGAGTAAATTACTTAGGGTTCAATGAAGGCAGGGGATTAAAAGCCCTGACCATGCAACATCTAAAAAATCACTTCCTACAGTGTTGGATAATTTTTCAAAGAGGCAAGCAAGGACAGAAAAGTTCAATGACGTCATATATCTTTGTGGCTTCTGATTTTTATAATGTCAAAGGCAGCTTTGAAATGACACAAAGGAGTTTCGACGTGACTGAAATGCGCAGCAAGGCACACGCTCTGCCTCCCTGCAGACTGCTCCCCGGCAACCTCCGTGCAGAATGGGGGGGCACTGCCTCAGTTCCCCTCTGGGCTCCAGGCTTCTTCCTGGGCTGTCTCAGGGGGCAACGATTTGCACACACAGCCAGCCAGGCTTGCTTGGTGAATTCTGAGAGATTTGTGCAAAAACCCCATGAATAAAGCAGCATTAAAAAGACCCCTGCGTGACCCTGCAGGTGGTGACGGTGGTGGCACGTGCACATGTGCGAGCTTAATTCTTATTCTACTTAGTGCATCTCTTAGCTCGTAGAGAAAAAAGTTAAGCAGTCTCTATGAATGTGTCCCCCGCATCCGTCCTTCCCACGCAGTCTCTCTGGGTGGGCTTGAAAGGAGATGTTTTTAGTTCCCGCTCCTGAGCCCCAGTGGGAGCGGGGCTTCCCCTCTCCGTGCTCCTTGGGGTGCAGAGCTAGTGGCAGAGCTCCCCGCCCTGCCCTGCGGGGAACTGGATGCTTACTTGCTTCCATAGATAAAAAGGATGGGTGGCAGTTCTGATGTTTGGGGACTCATAATATACACTTGAAAACCTGGAAAGAATTTTAGATACTTCCTTCTAGTATTACTGTGGTGTCATTGCTTAAAGGAGGGCCTAGCTTGAAAAATAACTATACGAACCAACTATAATAAAATAGTAATAGCAACAACAGTCAGAGCAAACTTTTACTAAGCATTGCCTATGTACCAGTCTCTAAACTAGGGTTTCTCAGCCTAGTAATCCTTCCTTGTTGGGGACTGTCCGGAACCTCATAGGAAGTCTAGCAGCACCCCTCGGCTCTACCCACGAGATGACATTACATCTCCCTTCCTCCACCAAGTTGTGGCAACCAAAGCTGTGTCCAGACACTGCCAAATGTCTCAAGAGGTACAAAATCACCCTGGTTGAGAGCTTAGCTCTATGCTGAGCACTTTACATAAAATACCTTTTGTATTTTGTTAGTAAACCTTTTAGGCAGATACTCCACAAATAAATTAAGCAAAGAACAGATATAATTACTCTAACTCAAGCAAAAACAACAAAAAAACAACAGTCAAAGTAAATCCTGTCCCAGGCAATGCGCTGACTGTAGCCGCTGTGGGTTAGGATGTGGCCTCCAGCTTTAAAGTGCGCTGCTGGTTGGAGGCAGCCTCCTGCAGGGCGTCAGCTGGAGTGCGGGTGAGAAGCTGTATTCCAACAACTCAACACCGCGGCTTACGGTCCGAACTCAGGCACACTCAGGAGAGCACACAGCTACCTCTAACGCTGACCATGCGCATACGGTCTCCTCGACTCCTCAAAAGACACGAGCTCCATATTTGCCATGTTTCTCCCTTACACACTTGCAGAGTACTCCAGAGCCTGACACCACAGCCAACTGTGCTCATAGTTATGACAAAAGTCCTAACCCAGGATGGCCAGCAGGCTCATGATGCAATTGCCAGTTTTCTGTTTTGGCATTAGCATTGAAGAGCTTGAAAAAGATGAATGATTTCCCTGAATCTAAGACACCACTGACTGCAAGCACAGCATTCTGTGTGGATCAGTAGGAAAGGAAACAAGGGCCATTAATTAAACCCTGGCATTCCACTGACTGCGGGGCCCGCCCTGGCCACTGAGGTGACGGTGCCTCGGCACCGAAGAATGCGCCTGATTCGATTATTTATTCTTTTCATTTCTAATCTTCATTTTTAAAAAAGCCTTTCGATAGGAATAGAATAAGGTAGGAAAAAAATCACTGTGGAATGCTTCTGTATTGTGACAACACTGGTCTTTCACATTTATTGGGCTGAATCAGGAATATGATGTTGACTTTTTTGTCTTAAAGTTTCATAGGCATCTAACCTTAGCTCTTGATCAAAATCATCTAAACAAATTGAACATGAACTTTTGAAAAAAAAAATGCTTTAAACTATAGTGAGGAGGTTTTCCAAGAAGAGCGTACCTTTCTTTGGAGAAATTTCCTTTACAGTTTTAAGATTTTCAAAAGATGTAGGTTGAATAAAATGTTTCACGTTAAACATCAAAACACCAATTTTAAGGGAGAGATGGTGATGATTAATCAGCACAGCAACCCTAGCCTCCTATCCCAATATTCCACATCTTACTCTCATCAGACATTTTGACATGATGAGAAATTGCACTAATTATTTGTCCTACCTTGAAGGTGAAATGGCCAGAAAATAGCTACCAGCAGAAAACAAGGGACCAGGTATAGAATCTTCTAAATTTGTTTGCAAATGGATAACCATTACTCTCGCTGTAATATCGCAGCCTCGGGGACAGTCCTGTTTGCCACTGGGTCATTAGTGAGCCATAATCCTTCATCCTGTGGAATGTCTTTCCCCATCAACCACTGGGTCCGATTCTTTTCAGGTACACTTCTAAATCGCACAAATTGGGTTTCACCTACGCGGCACCTTGTCTTGCCTGCTATTTCATAATTCTTTTCTACAAATCAAATCAGGGCATCCTGAAGCTGGCCACGGACCATTACCTAACTGGGTTTACTCCCATCTGCTACAAAGGTAACTAACTAGACTTTTCCAAGCGGTCACTTTGAACAGGTGGGGTCTTTTCTGAGGAGGCCTTCTGATAATCCTATTACCTTAGGTTTGAAACCCCCACCCCAGGGTTCAAACCTAATCATCTCAGATTTGTGAGCAATTTTAGACTTCCCATCAGGATCACAAGATACTGAAGTAAAATTCACTCTGTGCTTACCAATAAAAAGGGAAAGGTTCTTTTAATTGCCTTTTTATTGCATGAATTGGACTTTACAATGAACATCATTTTACAGGCTCTGAACTTTAATATTCAGGACAAGGTGTGCAGAGATAAGTAGAGGCTATGGAACATAAAGAAAAGTAACAGCAGGAAAGTCTACAAAAGGACAGGCTAATTAGTGTGGTATCTTAAATAACATTAGCTGCAGCTTTTATGTGAACTGAATAGCTTCTAAAATAAAAGGCCTAGAGGTTGGAGGTGACAGTAGTCACTGAGACAACCATTAAGGATGCTAGTAGGAAGCACCACCTTGGAACTGCATTCCTAAGGAAACCAAAGGAGCAACTAGCTCTGGCAGGGACAGATGCTTTGAGGGTTAAGTTAAAAACAAAACAAAACATGGTCATTATAGTAAAGACCTTGAGAGGGATCAGACTCTTGTGCTGGAGAACACGTAGGGAAGTGGAATATGGGGGGGCAGGTACTGGGGACAATGATGCCAGCTCAGATTTATAAGAAAAATTCACATTTCTAGAGGAATTTTCTACTAGTCATGTAGAAATGGAGGATTCTCAGCTCCTCCCCATGTTAATACAGATGCCCAGTGCTTTTTGGGGGCCTTAGGGATCAAGGTTCAGGCTCTGGCAGAAGCAATCTAGAGGCTGCCAACCTCGAACCTCGTTTTTATTGAGCATCTGCATGGTTCTCTAGTGCACAGGAGAGTCACAAATTCACTCAGACCTCCCTGAACCAAAGCCATGGAGAGAAGATGAAGAATTAAATACAGTGCATGGGAAAAGAAGTTCAGCCTTACTGGTTTTAAGCAGGCACCTTCAACCACACTGAGAAATGTGCAAATATGAGTGACGAGATTTACTTTATGGACTAGATGCCAGGGACTTTAGTTCATGCATCCGTTGTATGTAAATAAATAGAAATTTCGAGAGTTCCTCATTGAAATCAACAGCAAAACTCTCATGCCCATATTCTGACTAAATTACCCAATGTTTAGAATTAGTGGAGTCTAACCATAATCAGTTTCTTGGGTATTAACCCTCTCCCGCCTTCCAATACACACATCACACTCATCCAAGTTATTATTCTTGAGAGCCTATGAGATCCAAGTACGTGGCATTCAATTATTGCATTAAATCCTCATAAGAACTATATGAAGTAGGCTCAGGAAGGTTAAAAAAAATCACCCAAAGTTGCATAACTAGAAAATGACAAAGAACTACTCCTCTATCCCCTACCTCTCTTGTATACAAGTAAAAGGGCAGAGATATATTCTCTAACACTTTATATTGACATATCGAAGACCCTTTCTTTAAGAACCTCCAAGGTACATTCAGACTCAGTTCCTGTCAGGTGACTATAGTCAACCTCACTCTAGTCTGAATGAGTGGTCTTTTAAGTGGTGAATGATACTACAAATGCCATCAGTGAAGTACGAAGGGGCTGCTCTGTGCTAGACATCTGACACCTGCACCTGCTACCACCTAGGATTAATCCTCACAACCACCCTACCACCGGGATTATTCAAAGTGCCAAGGGCTGAAGCCACTTGCCCAGGGTCCCACAGCTAGTAAGTATCCTGACACTGAGCGTCTCCCTCCCAGTCCCCGAGCTCCCCTCTGAAAAACCAGAACCGGGCCCAGGAAACAAGCCCGCACGCTGGCGTCCCGTGGCCCGGAGGGAACGAAGCGGTCATAGGGAGAAGCGTTGCTCACCTGACTCCAGGCGCCAGCCTTCCACTTGGGGCATCTTCCTCCTCGGCACTTTCTGTGCCCATCTGGCTTAGCAAGGTGCTTACAGTAATCACTTTCTAAATGGCTTCCATCTTTTGCCATGCAGTAAACATTTCGTTGTTTATGCCCTCGACCACAAGAGACAGAACACTGAAATATAAAGCAATGGCAAGGTTGTTGTTTTTTAAATCACATGGAGTTTGACAAAAACCTGTGTCGTGAGATGTTAAGATCATGCCTAACAAGAGTCACCATTCCCCCTCTCCAGTGCCGTTTTGGATAAAATCTCAAGCACAACGTGGGAGGAAGGCAGCATTGGGGAAGGCTGTCCACAGTGTTGCAGCCGTGAACCTGTGGAATGCTTTGGGTCGCTCAAGACAGTGGGTAAATCTTGATGATTTAGGCCAAGAATGAAGCCCAAGGGCCTGAAATTACCATGCAATTCTAATTTAAAAAACTCTTACTATAAGGACTTATTTTCATATCTTACTTCATGCAATCTCTGACCAAGACATTCCTTCAACAGATGCCTTGTGAGTCACTGATTTGGATAAAGTTGCATTTCCAAAATACAACTGTGTCCAATTTCCTAATTAAACGATTTAAGGAAATTCTTCACCATTTTTCAGAGGATAGACTCTCATTTTCCCAGTCCACTGGGAAAGAGGGGGGAAAAGGCATGTAGAAATTGAAAGGTAAGCTGGCAGGTAAGTCTGCCAACTTCGGGAGGGAGGCACTACCTTTCAACTTTGGTCTGCAGGTTCACTGAGCTGTTTTAAATGTGACCTTGTCTGACCACATCTGAGAAACTTGACTTTGATTTCGGATTAGGTTTCTCAGAAAGGTTTAGGAATCAAAGTACCCATGGAGTCAGGACAAAAATTTGATGTGACAGCTTGTGGAATAGGCAAGAGGCTGCCCCAGTGAGCGCACCGAGATAGTCAACTTTCATGGCCTCATTAGCAATTATAGAAATCATTACCACTCGGATCATAAGCTTGCTGGCTCAGGCTTTTAAGACACATTATTTCCCAATAGAACGTTCCTGCTTTTTAGAGGGAAATGAGTTTAAGAATGAAGGAAAAAATGTAAAAATGCAATGAAAATAGATTTCAAGTGTCATTTCTTTCTATTCAATATTTCTGAATTCCTCCACTAACTTTGTGATTTTGTTAACTTAAATTACCAGAGAGCCCTTTTATGCCTAATAGATAAATAGCACCATGTAAAACATGTAGCCTAATATCAATTCAACCACTATTACCAACCAAGCATGCTCAAAGTGATACCATTCATAAGCTTGCCAGGCAGGTTTTTCTAGTGAACGCAAGCCATTATAAAAATTTCAGTAGTAGCTGATAGATTAAAATATCTTAACAGGCATGGCTATGACTTTTACTTTAGGAGATGGATATATCTTCTGAATGTTATGATTTGGGGTGGTCATTCTGGAAATCTTACTAGAAACAGGTGTGGAAGGAAGGAGCCCACTTCGAATATCTATACCAAAACCGAAATATCCATCATTCATCAGACAGCGTTGTGATGTGTATTAGGGCTTTGGGATATACTTCTAGAAGGCTTTTAGGATGAAGCTCCTAGAAATCTCTCTACAAACCAGCAATCTAGTGACTTGCACGCAGGTACCCCCTACTATCAGTAACTAATTTTAATATTTAAAAATGTCACTTTGACAATAAGATAATATAAGGGCACAATTAGAATTTGGGGTGAGTTCGTTTGTTTATTCAACAAACATTTACTTAGCACCTACTAAATCCCAAGGATTATGCAATGTGTTGGGCATACAGTGATGAACAAAACCGATATAATCCCTTCCCTCATAAAGCTTATAGACCAGTGAGGGAGAACAACAATTATCAAGTGATGACAAAAATAAATATATGCTTATTTACCGAGAAGAGTGTTATGAAAGAACCATCTGGAGTGGTTAGAAGAGGGCCCCCCGAGACATCCCCTGGAGCACACGCAGAGCTCACAGGTCATAATGATGTATTTGGATTTTTTTCTGCATGCAATGGGAAATTGCTGAAGAGTTTTAAGTCGGGTAAGACATGGTCTCATTTTTGTTTCAAAAATTCTACCTTGACTACTGAGTGAACCATAGGTGGGAATACATGTGTGAGTGGAAATATGAAAACTGCTCAGGAAGCTATTGCATTTGTCTGGACAAGAGGTGACAGTGGCTTAGATTAGGGTGCAGAGTGTTGGGGTGGGAGGTTGGTGGATTGAAAACATGTTTTGAGGTGGAAATGATAGTACCTGGTGGATGAGCTGTGGGGCGGAGGGGAGAAGGCTGAGTCAAGGATGACTCCCAAGTCCCTAGTATGGGCGACAGGATGGATGACACTTATGGAGATGCAAAAACACTGGGAGTCGAGGATATGTTTACTCGTAGGAAAGAGGCTGGGCTTAAAGGATATAACTCATGGATGGTAAATGTGGGTGATTAATCAGATGAACATGGGTGAACTTAAAGCAAGTCCATGCTTAGGGATAATCATTTCAATATACAAACAGTACAAACAAACTGTCCCTTAATATTGAGAGGAAGCAGGGAGCTGATAGAAATACTGACTTAATAATCTGCAGTGGTCGTCAGAAGAGTCTAAAAGTAGGCAGCAATCTTCAGAGGCAGGATTAGAAAAGGCACAGCTTTCTCACGTTACTTATCTGACTTGAAATGTATTATCTCATTTAATCATCCAATAAACATAGAGCTAGGTGCTATAATGGGAGACAATTGGTGTTTTCAAACTAGGGTAACCACAGTGCTTTATGTATACTCTGCCCCCTGGGGTAACCACAGTGCCTCATGTATACTTTGTCCAGCACCAGAGGACAGATGTCTGTCGGGAACAGTCACAGCACAATGAAAATAGTTACATTGCCAACATCACTGACAGTGCATCTGAGGTCCACCCAGCATCGTCTTGCCCACGAGATAGAGATGAGTGAAGCAGTTTCTAAGTATCTTGCCTTAAAGATCGTTTGCTGTCTGGATTAGCTACGTCCCATCCACTCCTATGTGCATTTTCTTATTTGGGGACCTGAATGGAACTGACTAGGAAAAAAGAATGCAATACTTTAGCATGACTCACCGCACACAGTATTGCCTAGAATTGTTAAGATCCTAAAGCAATTAGAAAATTCTCCAGGTATCTAATCTGATAGAAAACACCTTACATTTTATGCTTTCTAATTTACCAATGAAAAAAAGCAGCTGCTCGTGGAAATTTTCATAGCCAACAGTTTATTAATGGGTCTATTATGCCTTCATAAAGAAGCTGTGATTTTGATAATCAAATTAACACAGGTTTCAGCTCTTATATTGTGAGGGAAATTTCCATCTCTGATCTTGTCCAGTCCTTTCCCAGGCACTGACTTTTAAAAGTTTTTTATATTTAACATCTCATTTATTAATTTATTTTATTGTTCAAAATATTGCATATGTCCTCTTTTCCCCCCATTTACCCCTTCTACCCCCTCCCCACCCCTGTCCCCAGTCCCTCACCACACTATTGTCCGTGTCCTTGGGTTATGCATATATGCATATCAATTCTTTGGTTAATCTCTCCCCCACCCCCACCTTCCCTCTGAGATTCGTCAGTCTGATCCCTGCTCCATGTCATTGAATTTATTTTGTTCATCAGTTTACTAAGTTCTTTAGATTCCACATATAAGTGAGATCCTGTGATGTCCGACTTTGTCTGCCGGGCACTGACTTTTGCATAGACGTGCGTCACTGAGAGAACAGTTAAATTTAGTGTGTCACCCAGAACATGTTATTTATTGGCTACACATCTGAGGGCTCTTGCTCTGGGAAATATCTAATTCCTTATATTTGCAGCTAAAATAGCCTCCTAGTTTCCCAATAGAAATGTGAGTTTTTTCTCTGGGGAAATGACGCAAGTTGCTTAGGAGAAAGGTTTGCCCACCCCCACCTTGGAGCAGACTCCCGGACAGCGTCACCTCTGCCTGCTCCTCACATCAAGGTCCACAGCTCACGCCTGGCTGCGGGCCTTTGTTTCTGTGAGGCCTTTCAAAGGGCACGTTTAACGCGGAGCTTTGTTCAGATGTCGCCGCAACACCTGCCACAAACTAAGGTCTAAGAGTTTGAAATCCTTGCATCTCAGCTCTGCCAGGAAAACAAGACTCGAGGCGTGGGCAGCCTGCTCATAACCCGTCCCCAGGGCTTGCGCGCTCTCGAGTGGCAGCTCCAGCGTGGATTTGGGTGTGGTGTGCTGTCCCGGCCTTACGGCCATCGGCCCTTTCACTTACATTGAGGGGCATGGTCTCTCGGTCATCAAGAAGCTGGCAAACACCCCCAGTGTGTCTGCCTGGAAGAGAAGGGCTGAGACCTAACAAGAATCAGATCCCACAGCTGCGGAGGCTGCGGAGGACCTGGGCATCCAAACGAAGGTGGAGGATCGCCGCTGGTAAGGACTGGCCAGGATCACAGCAGGTGTCGGGGGGAGGGGGGAGGTCGGGACAGCTTCTCAGTGGGGTTGGAAGGTGGGGGGGCGGAGATGAGTGGGTGGAGTGTGACTCAGGACCAGCTGGGTTACAGCGGACGCCTGATACAGGTGGGTTAACAAATGGTCCAGGAGGAGGGCCTGGGAGAGCACCTGGGCACCATTCTTTATATGCAGGTGATTCTCATCTCCAAGCAATTTAGACACTTGAGAGTCTGTAAACATGAAATATGTCTCAGAGATTGCTGATCAACTCGTCCATGTTTCCCAGCACAGGATTGGCTGACGGCAAGGGAGAGGTCAGGACACTGACAGGCCACAGAGGGTCACATACCCGCAGCCATTAAGTCAAGACTCTCCCAGTCTTAGGATTTTTGACAACTGGGTAGCTAACCATCACTTCGAGACTGGTGGGCAAAGTTCAGTTTTGAGACAGGAGACCTTGCAATTATTATTCAAGGCCTTTCTCTGTGATCCTCTAAAATATGAAAACAACATCTCCATCACTTCATTTAAAAATGTTCAGTTGTGCCTTTTCATAACAATAACCAGCTCTTCTTGATTCTACTCTCATTTGACCTTGTTTAACAAAACAAAGCCAAGCCTCATCTGGAAAGTATTTCATTCGATAACGCAACGCTTGCACTCAGGTTC